GAAAAATGTTAAAAATTCTCTAAAGTATTGGTGTCCAATTTGGACAAATATGGAAATGCACACGTATACCACTATATAGGAGTAGTAGTCTAAAGGGTCCTTAACAGGATTCCGGGAGTCATATTTCTGGAATAATTTTGGAAGTTTTTTAAAAAATTTTTGAAAAAATCAATATTTCAATAAGAAAAATGTTAAAAATTCTCTAAAGGATTGATGTCCAATTTGGACAAATATAGAAATGCACACGTATACCACTATATAGGAGTAGTAGCCTAAAGGGTTCTTAACAGGATTCAGAATTTTTAACATTTTTCTTATTGAAATATTGATTTTTTCAAAAATTTTTTAAAAAACTTCCAAAACTATTCCAGACATATGACTACCGGAATCCTGGTAAGGACCCTTTAGGCTACTACTCCTATATAGTGGTATACGTGTGCATTTCCATATTTGTCCAAATTGGACACCAATCCTTTAGAGAATTTTTAACATTTTTCTTATTGAAATATTGATTTTTTAGAGAATTTTTAATCTTTTTTATTAAAATATTGATTTTTTTCAAAAAATATTTTTTTTATTTTTCATATTTTTTTAAGTTCTGAAATTTTCGTTTTTCATTTTCTGAAAATTTTAAAGTGTTTATTTTTAATTTTTCATGTACTTTCTGTTAAATGCTTAACAGTGCTCTGTTAGCTGCAAAAAGAGCAATGTTAAAAAATGTGGTTTGTGTCTCTGCTAGTTAAATTCGAATTTAACTTCACACACATTGATTCCTTAGATAATACGACCTTTTTTGATCCTAGTCCCCATACAAACCCTCCTTCAGCAAATGAATTTAATTCCATAATTATCTTATTAATATTAATATCACAATAAAATTCAGCTTTAATAACATTTATATAATCCTTGCACCAAATTGTATGAGGATCGTTCCATACTTAGCCCTATACCGCATATTTCAGAAACTAAGTTTTAGAACAATTTTGTAAGAAGAAAAACCTGAAAGAGAGATTCACAAATCGGCGTAAAACTAACTTGAAGGTACACAAATTACACAGGAAGACACCTCCTTTAGAATGTTACTGCCGCTCGAAGATTCACATAATTTTCTTACTTCCCATCCGAGAATAAATAAAAAATAAATAAATCGCTTAAATGTCAGAAGTTTAACACAAAGTATATACCCCACGAAGTATACAGAGGTGTCACTTTTGACGATTAAAAAAGTCTAAAATTAGATGTTGTCTAGCTTTTGTGAAACTTGTGCATGAAACTACTACAGCTAAAAAAATAGTGTGAAACTTGTGTTGAAATACAGAGGCATCACGAGCAAAAAAATGTTTCGCGAAAGAGAGGGAATTAGTTTTTCATATAATTTTTCGATTTCAACGATTTTTTTAGGTGTATTTTATATACCTCTTCCCACCACACAATTTCAAAATCAAAAAACAAAAGCTAATTTTAGAGTTTTTTCAATGTCAAAATTGACACCTCTATATACTTTGTGCCTGTGAGTTTAATATAGATACGAAAAGAGAGAACGGCATAGACTATCATAGACTGGAATCAGCTGATTTTAGCAATATGGCCGAGGCAAACAAAAAAATTTTACGAAAAATCAACAAAAGAAATCAACCACGGGAAATTTAAAAGAGGGACAATTACATAAAGATATATTTCCATCTCTTTTCACCTTATACTTAATGTTTTTCAAATGTAAAAAAAACAATATATTATAGTCAAACCCCTTTATAACTATTTCTTAAATAATTCTTGGTAAAAAGGAATTATTATTTAGTCCCATGAATAAAATTTCATACAATTATCCATTTTCATATGGAACTTCAAAAATTATGTGTTGAAAACAAATATACGGGTTTTACTGTACATTTGGGTGATCGACTCGGTTTTACAACCGGTTTCAAAACCGTTTTTTTTTTAACCTGTTTCAAATAATGTTATTTGCTTTGTATTCAATGATTACTTAAATTAAATTTTGAAGTAAATAATAATACATCCCATCTAAATTTTAAAAATATTCGATTCGAGGAATTGGAGTATATTTTTCTAAAGCGCCTTTGGTTAACCTTTTTGATTTTTCTAATTAATTAAAAAATTGATTGGAATAACTGTTAGATAAAATTTTATCAATCTTATTCCATTACAATAATTAATTTGCGGCTGAAATATTATGGAAGTGTTGGAATGCTCCTAAACATGGACTTTAGAATAAGCTAGAATTACATAGTACCTTATGTTTCACAGTAGTGTCCCACTTTTTTTCTAATTTTTTTACATTAAAGAAATAATATCAGACGACTAGACCTAAAGTTATCATATTTTAAACCGTTAAAAATCAGTTCGGGCTATGTTTTATTAATCGAATTTAAACATAAACCTTAATTTTTTTCAAATTCAAATAGATTTTTTTATTTATAATAACAAACCGGTTTTTTCTGAATTTGAAAAATATCAACCGGTTTTTTTTCAAATGTCAACTATTCGAACTATTCGAAAACCGGTGTTGACAGTGCATTGAAAAGTTTTTTGAAATGAAAAAACATTAAAAAACAAATCCAATACACTTTTAATTAGAATCTAAGCAAAAATTTAATAAAATAATGTTTTCCTTTTAATTTTCTTTTTTTTTTTGCAATTCTTCTTCACATACAATTTCTTCAATGTTTACATTTTTTTCTGTTTTTTTTTTCAAACGAGCGATGAAAACAATCATACAGCTCATTTCACACACTAAACGATTTTTTTAATACATTTTGTTTTAAATTTTGCTCTAAAATTTTACCTAATGGCGGAATTCAAAAAATTTAAACAAACCACACGGTTCTAATTTACTTTTTTAACAGCTGTCAATGGTTTCTTATACATATGTTATCTGTGGAGAACGGTTATACCTTTATTTTACCTACTATGCCTTTTTCTATAAAATTTTCAATATTTCCCCTCAAAAATATATTGATTATAATTAATATACCATGATTTCCCCATTGTCCTTAAAGCGATAGAATTTATGACAATATTTGTAATATTGTCGTCCATGGACGAGAAAGAAAGTGGACGATATTGTCGCTTATATTTTCGTTGGCAAAGCTGAGGGCATTGTTATACATGTAATCGTTGACGATAAAATGGTTGTCCTCTATAATGACGTGCGTGAATATATCAGACCTGGGATAAATGCATTAAATGTGTTAATGCATTAACAATTTATTCTACATTAAAAAAATTAATGTTAATGCAAGTTTATTGCATTAACATGGGTACATTTAATGCATTAAATTTGCATTAACATTAAATATTTTTAAATTTAATGCATTAATTTTACATTAACATTAAATATTTGTGAAATTAATGCATTCATTTTGCATTAACATTAAATATTTTTGAATTTAATGCATTAATTTTCCATTAACATTAAATAATAAAATTAATGCATTAATTTTCCATTAACATTAATGTATAAAATAATTTATAAAAATAGGAATACAGCGCTAAAGACCTCGGTCGAACTAAATTCAAGTAAAATTGAATGTGTTAAAGTCCTTTCTAATAAGTCCTATACTCGATAATACATATTAGAAGAATAGTATCACTTCCCATATATTCCTTTTTTAGTTTATTTTGTTAAAGTCCTTTCTAATATGTACTATACTCGATAATACATATTAGAAGAATAGTATCACTTCCCAGATATTCCTTTTTTAGTTTATTTGGTCTGTGGAATCTCATATAAATATCATATTTAAAACACACAAGTTTGAATGGAATATAGGAGTTATTAGAAAGGACTTTAACCTTTTTAATTTTAGTTGTATTTAGTTAGATCGAGGTCTTTTGTGCTGTATTTTTATTTATGTGTATCAATTTTTATATATATTAATGTTAATGGAATATTAATGCATTAATTTTATTGCTTATTTAATGTTAATGTAAAATTAATGCACTAAATTCAGATATATTTAATGTTAATGCAAAATTAATGCATTAATTTCAAAAATATTTAATGTTAATGTAAAATTAATGCATTAAATTCAAAAATATTTAATGTTAATGGAAATTTAATGCATTAAATTTTACAAATTTAATGTTAATGCAATATTTTTTACATTAAATTAATTTTTTTTAATTTAATGTTAATGCAAAATTAATGGAAATCGCCCAGGTCTGGAATATATAGCCGTAGTTTTTACTGTTATTGTCTGAACGACAAACTAAGCGACGACCGTCTCTCGTTAAGTCATTCAAGATTTTCGCGACATTTGTTCGAAAAAGCCAACAAAACTAAAAATCCAGTTTTTCTCCATTAAATTTATAGTTTCAGATGTATATCATCCGGTTTGAGTTTAATTTTGAGTGTCGGATGGTGTAACATAACAATAGTGATTGTATTTTTACTTATCATATATGTATATACATATTTTATGAAAAAACAAGTTTTATACCCCGTTCACATGATACAATTATTCGTAATTCACGCTCTCATTCATCATTTAACCCCCAATTTCATACTGAAAGACATGATTAGGCATACAAAATTTCAGCTGCGAATTACACAAGCTGTACGTAATTCAGTTTGAATTACGTACGAATTACGAATGAATGAGTGTCATCTCTAATTTTTGTCGGGTACTTATCATAATCAACTGTTTGTTTTCATTGGTTGGAGACAAATAAAAAATAAAATCACAAAAAAATGCAAATAAATAGAAAATATATAACTTAAACTATATGAACGATTTTAAAACGGTCCATATTTTGAACTCGAATTTTGATTTATACTGATAGAAAATTAACGATATGTATAAACCTGAATACATACATAAATTCCTTTAGATACTAAGATTTTTCGTCGGCCAACAAATTTTTCTAAAAATATATGTAAACAATATATGTACATGTATATGTGACATCCATTGTTTCATAGTATTTATAATTTTATTTAAATACATATTTTTTTGGAAAATATTACAAAAAATACTTGCTTTTATCTTTCAAATTCTATACTCCGTTTTTTAGCATCATAGAATGTTTGTAACCAAACTTATTTCTGTTCCTCTTAAAAAGTATTAACTGTCCAATACTTTACGGGTTGACATACCACATAACAAAATTAAACTTATAGTGTAAACACGGACTTTATTTGGAAATAAAATTTCAATATATTTTACAAAATAACAAAGTTGATACGATATGTTTTTAAATTAATTTATTTATTTATTTTGTGTGTATTTTTATTTAATATGCTTTTGTGAACGTATTTACTATTGCAGAGAAAGATCTCTCACTTCAATTTAATCCACTTTCGTACTAGTAGTAGAATATGAAACACATCAATATATGTACATACATATGTATCTACATGTGAATTTGTATCTTAACTATTATTCCAAGGTATTAAAATTTACACTTTTATTTGCTTATTTTGTTCAATTATAATCGTTTTATAAAGTATAACAAATAAATTCTGTGAATAATTTTGTTTACAATAATGTAATATGTTGTTTACACGTATGTATGTATGGTTGCAGGTAGATTTAAAATTTAAAACCACTAGCAACCTCATACCAGTAACAACAAACACGATCTTTCCATGTAAACGAACGAATAATAAACTTCAAATAGTGATTGCTTCCAACCAGGGATGGCAAAATTGATACGATCGTACCAAGGCGAATTCACATAAGGTGATGTTATTCTTCTTCACTCGACTTGTACCATGGCGAAACCAATAAGGTTAAGTCAATTCAACAGCTGATGTTTTTTTGTCCATGGAACAAGATTTATTAATTATAAGATAGTGTCGTCGGCGAATTCAGAAATACAGAGCGAATTCATTTTATTTTTTATACAGAATTTGGCAGTATGCGTACACTTAAAGGTGGAAGTACAAAACAACGCTTTGTACGCGGCAACGCGTTATAGGCTTCTGTCAAAAAATTTTCATTTAACAAGTTACACACTGTAGTTTGTAACGCGTCTGCCGCGAAAAGTTCAGCAACTTTCAACTTTTGACGCGTCGGCAGCTTATCTGGGTTGTATTTTGTTTTGTGTAGAATAAGAATAAACTAATATGAAATAAATTTCATCAACAATGAAAGAAAAAATTTAAAAAATAAACAAAAACTTATAATTTTGATTTTTAAAACAGTAATAGTCTTAAAAAAACATTAAAAGAAAGATCAAATGACGCGTGGTGTATAACCTGCAGCTTGTAAAGCGCGAAAAGTTTGAAAAGCGTAAAACCAAGTTCTATACTAACCTTGATGACCCTCATGATTTTTTTAATTATAGGGTCTCATTTGACCAAAGCCCCCTTCAAAATTCGACTTAAATGTCCACAATTTTATTCAAAATAAAATTTCAACTTAAATGCTTTATTATGAAAACTAAATCACATTTTTTTTTTATCAGGTGTAGGGTATTATATGGTCTGCCTCGCCCGACTATAATTTCTTACTTGTTAAATATAAAAATGAAAACAATAACAAACTCTAACATCAGTGCGTACCAGACAAGTGAAGAAAAAAATAATCAGCTGAATAAATTATGCGAATTCGCCTTGATAACAGCCCTGTTTTTCGCAATTTTGCAAGATTTTTAGCAAAATATTATAAACCAAAGTATATTAATAAAGTAGCGACATCTCTTGTTGTACAACAACATCTACAACAACCACATGTATTTTGTTTTTGGAATAATTTAAGATTGTGTCAAAATAAAATTTCCTTGAACAACAATGTGAACAAAACATAAATAAAAAATATTACTTTTACGTTAAAAATATTAACGATTTAATTATATTATTACATATTATACAATTTATTACACTTTAAAACCACTTTTAATTCACTTTTTCAACTTTTCACAAATTTTAACAAATAGCAAAACACAATTTAAAAATGGCGACGTAAACAATGTTACAATTTTCAAAACAAACTTTGACAAATTGCTTCATTTATATAGTTTAAAAAAATAGTCAGCTGTTCAAGTGATGCTACTTTATTAATTTACTTTGTTATAAACGCTACAACATAAAAATGAGAGAACAATGAGAGGATCGACAGAGCACAAAGCAAGGCGAATTCAGATATGGTGGTGGCCAAGGCGAATAGACTATAAGGTAATGTCCAAGGCGAATTCAGATAAGGTGGTGGCCATGGCGAAACTAATAAGGTGAAGTCATTTCAACAGCTGATTGTTTTTTTTGTCCATGGAAATTTAGCCCGAAGCTGTCAAACTCCATATAAAAAAAATTCTCTCTCAAATCCGACGCTGTCAAACTACATATATAAAAAATTTCATGAATTCGCCGCAAAATGAAATGACTTCACCTTATAGTCTATTCGCCTTGGTGGTGGCAGTTCTGCAACAACAACATTTTACATGTATTTTGTTTTTGCATTTGGTTTACGTAGATGTCAAAAACCATAAGTACGGCGAATTCATTTCATGAAAAATTTTTGTAAAATTCTTATATTTTATTAAATATAAAGATATTAAAATTTGTGAAGAAAATATATTCTGAATTGAATAATGTTTGTTTCAAACGAAAAATTCTATTCCGGCAAATTAATTTGCAAAATTTAAGTGAGTGCCTGAAGTTCAGTAAAACTTAATTTTTTTTTGAAAAATAAACATAAAAAGGTACATATTCATGAAAATATTATATTACGAATGAATGAATATTTGTTGCGAATGGACAATTCTACTCCGGCGGAGTAATTTTCAATATTTGGCCACAATGTAGCAGCCGCCGGACGGGTAAATACTTCATATGGGTTTTGTTATATAAAGCGTTCCGGAACCGACTTTTTTTAGTTAATCTCTTTATCTACATAGTGTATGTATAAAACAATATTGTTTAATTTGTTAACATTTAATAGATTTCAAAATTAAGCCATATGTAAAAGTAAGCTGCCGCTGTTCGGCTAAATACTTCATATGTGTTTCTTTATATAAAGTGTTCCGGAAGAGATTTTTTTTAGTTAATCACGTTATCTACACAATGTTAATATAAAACAATATTGTTTAATATGTTAACATTTAATAGAAACTAATATTTTTCCTAAATAAGATATTTGTATACATACCAATTATGCCATTATTTAAATAAAATGATATTATGCTTGGTATTTTTAGATTTTTTACATAAATAATTCAAAATATTAACGAAGTTTTTCACAGTTTAGCGGAAATTTTTAAATATAAAAATGTAAACAATAAAAAACTTTGACAGCTTCGTAAACCAGGCGAATTCAGAATTATCAGCTGATTGAATAACACCACCTTATCTGAATTCGCCTTGGTGAAGTCATTTCATTTTGCGGCGAATTCATTAAATTTTTTATATATGTATGTTGTTTGACAGCGTCGGGTTTTAGAGAGATTTTTTTATATGGAGTTGGACAGCTTCGGGCAAAATTTCCATGGACAAAAAAACAATCAGCTGTTGAAATGACTTCACCTTATTAGTTTCGCCATGGTGGTGGCCAAGGCGAATAGACTATAAGGTGATGTCATTTCATTTTGCGGCGAATTCATTAAATTTTTATATATGTAGTTTGACAGCGTCGGGTTTGAGATTTTTTTATATGGAGTTGGACAGCTTCGGGCTAAATTTCCATGGACAAAAAAACAATCAGCTGTTGAAATGACTTCACCTTATTAGTTTCTCCATGGTGGTAGCAGTTCTGAAACAACAACAATTTACATGTATTTTGTTTTTGCATTTGGTTTACGTCAGGGATCGGCAGACATATACTACCATATTTTGCACTTGTATAAGTGTAAGAGCGAAAAAAACAAGAAATGAGAAATAGTTGTACTCTCATCTTCACAACAAGGCAGGCTTGGAAAACTGAAATTTAGAAATAATAGTAATCTAAAACAAAACTAATATTTTTTTTTTAGTTTAAGAGTAGCACATATTATTTCTGGGCTTATTTGCACATATTTATTTTAAATATTGAAATAGAAATATGAGCTTTTTAAATAAGTTTTTAATAAAATATATACATATAAAATTTAAAGATTTAACATAATTACATGTATATATTGGTAAATTATTGTAATTTGCTACTTAAGTTGTAAGAAAAAACATTTAAAAAAGTTTATAATTCTAAAAACTACATAATATGTAGTGTAGATGCTAAAAAATTACAACAATAATTAGATTTATCCATCCCAGCATTAATATATTTTCGTTCATTTTCATTGCAAAAGCAAGAAACGAGCGACAACACAACCTCCTTCAATGACAGCTCATATGAGACCACAGGGTATACAGAGGCACAAAGTATACAGAGGTGTCACTTTTGACATTTAAAAAAGTCTAAAATCAGCTTTTGTTTGATTTTGAAATTGTTTGGTGCAAAGTAAATTAATAAAGTAGCGACACGAGTTGTTGTACAACAAACGTCTACAAAAACCATAGGCAATTTGTTTTTGTTCGAAATACTTGTCAAAATTTGTTTACAAAAATGAACCAATAATTAATGGAAAATATGGCATTATTGTTGTACTTTCCAAAAATATGTTGTTATTTATATTAAAAGTCACAGAGTTATCTTTATTTTTTAAAAATTAGAACATTTTTAAAAATATTATACACTTAAAATACACTTTTTCACATTAAATACAACAAATTACTAAGAAATTTGTACAAAAGTAAGCGTTAAAATGAAAACAAATATGGCAACATAAACATTTTTGACAAGTAAGTCCACAAATAGCAAGTTTAAAAAAAATAGTCAGCTGTTCAAATGAGTCTACTTTATAAATTTACTTTGGTTTGGTGAGAAGAGGTATATAAAATACAGCTAAAAAAATGATTGAATTCGTTTTGTGCGAAAGAGAGGGAAATAGTTTTTTGCTCGTGACGCCTCTGTATACCCTGTGATGCTGTCAAGCAACTAAATAAAATATTTGTATCAAAATAAATTAATAAAGTAGCGACACGAGTTGTTGTACAACAAACGTCTACAAAAACCACAGGCAATTTGTTTTTGTTCGAAATACTCAACTGTCAAAATTTGTTTACAAAATTGAACCAATAATTAATGGAAAATATGGCATTATTGGTGTGCTTTCCAAAAATATGTTGTTATTTATATTAAAAGTCACAGAGTTTTCTTCATTTTTTAAAAATTAGAACGTTTTTAAAAATATTATACACTTAAAGTGTATTTTACATTTCACATTAAATACAACAAATTACTCAGAAATTTGTGCAAAAGCACGCGTTAAAATTAAAACAAATATGGTAACTTAAACATTTTTGACAAGTAAGTCTACAAATAGCAAGTTTAAAAAGATTTATATTGGAAATAGGTTTAACCGGAAAAAATCAGAATTAAATGTCTACCCAAACACAAGCAACAAGAAATTACTCACACTGTAATTCAAAATAATGCAAAAAGATTCATGAAGATAAATAACTTAAAATTACGCCAATACAAGTGAATACTTTAAAATGTTGTATTCTAAAATATTTTTCTGGAACCCAATGCTTTTTTAAATTATGACGGTTAATTAACAAATTTTATTTTTTCCTATACGAAATAAAGAGGTTTTAATTTTTATCATCCTTCAGGAGTTCTTGTTAATTTATTGAAAA